TTTACTTCTTTTAAATGCTACAGTTAAACATTCTATTGACTTGATATTATGTATCAACGTCACATCCATGAATTTCATTTCAGGTTCATAATGAAGATGTTAAAAATGTGCTATAAAAAAGAGGCATCGGGTCTGACAGGGCTGCGGACTTTCCGCAGCTGTAAAACTTGGGCGTGAAGCCGAGGAGGGGCGGGTGTCCCACGCGCGCCACACATCCTGAACAGCCCGGCCACGGGGTCAGGGCCCAGGTCGGGCGCCAGCGCGTAAGCCACAAAATTAACAAGACACTTTATCAATTTCACTTGAAGACTTGGAGGACACGGAGTTTATGACTAAAGTTTAACTGGTTAAAGTTTAACACAAAGTTTCCATCGAAATCCACTCAGATAAGTTATGGAGTACACATTAAAATTATCATGGAATTTCGTGATAAAACAGCAGCCTTCAAAGAAGCCTTTATCTCGCCAGGCTGATCACGGCTGTGCCCTCTGCCCGAGGAGCTGGCGCCCCACCCCTCTTCTCCTGGGGGACCTCAAGGGACAGTCCAAGAGGCGATAGGTCCTCTGCCTAGATGGTGTCCTCTCGGCATGGCCCTGAGTTTCTGCAGAGCGAGATTGTCCAGACNCAGGCTGATCACGGCTGTGCCCTCTGCCCGAGGAGCTGGCGCCCCACCCCTCTTCTCCTGGGGGACCTCAAGGGACAGTCCAAGAGGCGATAGGTCCTCTGTCTAGATGGTGTCCTCTCGGCATGGCCCTGAGTTTCTGCAGAGCGAGACTGTCCAGACGGGGGTCTCAAGACCCAGCCACCAGTCTTGGCTCTACCACTAACCACTGATGGGAGCTCGGACAAGCTGCGTCCCTTCTGAACAGCAGACCTCATTCTTGGGGGCAGGCACTAGGCTCCAGGACTTCAAGGTGCCTCCTTGGCCTCTGTTCTTTTGTTTTGAAAAGTTTTGAAAACTATCAGAAAACGGAACGAAGCATCTGATACGATGAAGATGTCTCGATATGCCCCCGGGTCCTGGCGTGCACTCGGGAGCAAGGCTGGTGTCTGAAGAGGCCGCCTCAGGACCAGCCTTTGGACCCGACCCTGCGTGCGAGCCCCAGGGCTGCAGAGATGGGAGCAGCTCCAGCCGAGGCCCCCGCCTGACAGGTACCCGCCGAGGTGACAGCTCTCGGCTCCGCTCTGAGTCAGAGGCCCCGCTGCTCCGCCCGCTAGCCGTGTGCACTTGGGAAAGTCCCTGACCTTCCGTCCGCTTCCTCTTTATCTGCGAGAGGAGATAGCACGGGGCTGGGGGTGGGGCTGGGCAAACGCTACCTACTGTCACTGCCACAGTCGCTGCGGACCCGGCGGCGGGCTCAGCTCAGCCAGGGGGCAGGGCAGCAGAGGTGACGGTGTGCGGAGGCCCCCACCAGGAGGAGGGGCAGGAGAAAACCTCAGGGGCGGGCGGGACGGCCCAACCCCCACAGAGGCCCCCCCCAGCAGGAAGGCTCCGCGCCCTCATGGCCCAGGCAGGAAAGGAGGTGCGCGGATCAGAAACCGCGCTGCTTCCATAAGCTCTATCACGCGAACTACAGACGAGACATTTTGGTTAAAATTAAAAGTAAATCCTCACTACAGTAACTTAAGATAAATTGGTCTCTGCCACAAAGCAGCTGTTCTTCAGATTCAAGGAAAACTGCTCCAAAGCTGCCGAGTTACAGCCCTAAGGAGAAAACCATTGAAACTCTGCGCCCTGCCCCCATGGGTGAAAGTCCCCGCGGGCGCACCTGCGGGTGGGGTCCTGTTTGTTTTGGGGTTGGGCTGGGGGGTGGGACTTTATTAGTGGCCTGCGACCCTATGCATGGCAAATTTGAATGATTAAACCTTGGATGTAGTCAAAATAATCCTTTGTTTCACTTAGGAGAAAGACATAGTTTGAATAAGAAAAATCCTAGTAAATCCATTCCATAAAAATAAGCTTCTTTATTCAAAACAGCAAACTAAACTCTGGGAGGCCCGGAGTCACAACAGTAAGGTGGTCGGCACTGCTCTCCCGCCCACCCCACGGCTAGCTGCCAGCAGGACGGACCAGGCCCATTCCAATAGCAGGTCAGTGATTCACACCTACGGCCGGGCTCGGGGACTGACATTCTGAAACATGAACGCAGATTTGGGAAACCGGTGTGTGAGTAACTAGTCATACGCGCCTCTTGGCTGAGTCACAGCCCGATTTTTCAGGGATAAGGCATTCCTCTCAAACATTGCCTTTTGAGGAGCAAACACATCACAACACATCACACAAGGTCCAGCCGCACAGCCCTGCAGAAAGGAGATTAGGGCCCCACTCGAATAGGTAACAGTCCAATCAACTCCGAGGGAAACAGTGTTGCAACTATAAATAACCCAGCTTCCTGAGCTCAGCAGAAGTGGGGGTGTAGGCTAAATTTTTTTTTTTTTTGCTAAGGAGGCTTCTGCTCTGTGACATTAGTTTAGGCTGAACAGAAACCAACTTTTAAAGAAAAAGGGAAATTTAGTCTCCATCTTTGCCTAGTGGGACACTCTTCATACTGTGAGAAAAGACTGAACTTAGTGTTTGCATCTTAACTGCTTGAGGAAGTGACCATCTGAAACAAACCATATGATCCCCACGCTGACGTCGGCTGAGCTGTGGCCGGCCAGCCCCCTGAGCACCGCCTCCATCCCCGCATCTCTCAACAGCCCCGCTCGCCGCCACCGAGACCTGTGGGCCTTGGCACCGGTACCTACATGAGCTGGGACCTGGAGGCTGTGCCCACGCACTGCCCGGCCAGGCTGTCTCCGGGCAGGACTCGCGTGTGTCAGTTCCTGCTAGTCAGTGTGTGGAAAGCAACCAGCGGTGACACAACCCATCTCAAACATGGGAAGTTACAAAAGTGAGACAAACGCATGGTTTCCACACCGTCCCCTCACAGGGCTCCAGGCTGGTGCTGACTGTCACCTAAGGAGCCTGGACACCTGCTCTCATCCTGACTTTTTCCTTTGCCAGGGGAGGTGGGGCCTGACAACTCCGCTTCCTCCTGCCACCCCAGCTCTCCTCTGGCCCTGAGGTGGCCCCCGGCCTCCTTCCCCACTGGGAACCCCTATTCCCAGGACAAGAGGGTCACTGAATGCACAACCCAACCGGCACCAGCCAGTCTGAAATGCCCAGAAGCCTCCAGCTGGAACCTGCATCGCCCAGGTGGCCGCGGGGTGACTCCAAGGCTCCCCACCTCCACCTGTCCCCAAACTGGCCAATGAGAATGCTTCCTTCTCAAGGGGACCACCTCCTCAGGAAACAGGGACCGTGTGTTACTCCGGTTCCCAGGTCTCACCCTCGAGGAGTGTTCACTCAAGGAACCTCCCAGGCTCGCAATTTCTTCTCTGGAATCCCAGGACCAGATATGTTTCAGATTCAACAGTTTTGGATTTTATTTTATTTTTATGTTATTATTATTAATCCTTGCCCCAGGATATTTTTCTCCATTGCTTTTCAGAGAGAGAAGGGAGGAAGAGAGAGAAACAGCGATGTGAGAGAGACACACATTGATTGGTTGCCTCCCGCCCAGGCCTGGTGGGGAGAGAGCCTGGATGGGGTCTGTGTCCTTGACCTGAATCGAACCCGAGACCCTTCAGTGCATGGGCGGACGCTCTAGCCACTGGGCTAAGCCAGCTAGGGCAACAGTTTTGGATTTTAGAAGGGTAATGAGATGCATTCACTCTATATTCTGTAATAATCTAGAGGCACAGCCCTTAACCGAGTCCATTAATGGGGCCGCAGACAGACGCACGGATATTCACACCGAGAGAGGTGAAGACCGACGCCAGCCTCCCGCCAGCCAGGGCAGGTCTCTCTGCCAAATGAATTCCGCTACCAACTTACCCCAAAAGGCAACAACTTTAGGTGCTGAGAGCTTACTGAATCCTGCAATTGGTAGGGCAGCGATTTTCAACCCTTTTCATCTCATGGCACATAAACTAATTATTAAAATTCTGCAGCACAGCACTGGACGGTGTGGTTAGAGCGCCGTCCCTCGGACTGAAGGGTAATGGGTTCGATTCCGGTCAAGGACATACATGTACCTGGGTTTCAGGTTCGATCCCCAGCCCTGGTCGGGGTTTGTGCAGGAGGCAACCAATCGATAGTCTCTCCCACGTCAGTGTTTCTCTCCCTCTCTCTCTCTGCCCCTCCTTCCCTCCCTCCCTTCCTTCCTCCCTCCCTCCCACTCTGCCTAAAAATCTATGGGAAAAAATCCTCGGGTATGGGTTAACCAAAATAATAAATAAATAAAATTCTGCAGCACACCAAAAAATATATTTTTTGCTGATCTGACAAAAAAAAGGAAGTATAACTGATTCATTCACACCAGATGGCTGTTGTGTTGGCTGTTATTTTTTTAATTGGACAATTGAAGGGAAAAGAGATCAGTGCTCCTGATTAAACAGGCAGATATCACATGTTTTAAAAACTCTTGCAGCACCCTGGTTTTAAATCCCTGGATTCGGGGATGGTGGGCCAGTGCGGGCGGAGCACCTGCTCAGTCAGGGCCTGGTCCAGGCTCCCCTCTCACCGGCCTCTCCGGAGCACACCCCAGCCCAAGAGTTCAGCGAAGGGTTAAGGAGGCCTCTCAGCCGGGCCTGGGAAGCCAGGTGCTATTTCTACTCCCTCCTCTGGCCCGGTCCCTCCCTCTCTCACATCCACGTTCACTCTTTTCTACAGAAAGTCCCCGCCCAGAGTTCCTTCCTCTGAGCTCAGTCTTGCTGGGACCCACAGCACCCGGTTCTGGCCATCTATGGCTTGCCGAGGCCGCGCCTCGGGACACTGGCCTCTCAGCAGGGCCCTGTCCTTCCCTCCCCACGCTCCCCTCCCTGACGGTGATTCCAGGCTCTCTCTGTGAGTTCCCGGGCCCCAGGTTAAGGGGTGGAACCTGCCACAAAGGTCTGGCCCACAGCTGGTACGTGAGGTCAAGAAGCAGCACCTGAAAGGGCCTTTACACACCCACCTGCCGGGCGTAGCGAGGAAGGCGGGCCCCAAGTGCGAACTCATCATCCGAGTCCATTTCTATGCCTTCTCCGGGTTGACCTTTGGTAAGCTCCTCCAAGGTCAGGGCAGCCTCCCCATTCTGAACCTCCCACCAACACCCAGCAGGTGCTTAATTCCTACCTGGGGAAGGGGCGACTGGCTGGGACCCCAGTTCTCTGTGGTACTAACTCCATAGAATATTTCTTTCCCGAAGTGCATCTTCTCAAATGTAAAGATTCCCACTTGTGACCACCACAAGCCCTATGTCAGTGTAACGACAGACCTGGCCAATTTCAGCCAAACTACCCCACATCCATGGGGTAGCCACACCCTGCGAAGTCCTCCAAACTCAGGCGGAGGTGAGCTCCTATGGGCCCCGCCACCTCAGCTCCAGTCCAGCAACACCTGCCGCGGGATAACTGCGAAATCCTGAGGATCCTGTCTAGACCGGAGACCCCAGGAGACAGGCCAGAGCCCATCTGGGTGCTGGGGTCCCTGGGGGAGGCGCAGAAGTCAGCTCAGTCCCCAGGGGTCCGAAGGTCCAGAGCAGGATAAGTGCTCGGACCCGCCCAGCCACAGGCGGTGCCAGCCTCGGGGAGAGGGCCCGGCGCTGGGCCCCGCTTCTTGGGCTGCATTTTGTAAAATACCAAACGAACAGCTCGGAGGGAAACTCCAGACCACGCGCAGGACAGGTGGGCGGCCCAGGACCCCGCTGGGCACAGCCGGTGGCCAGGCCGTGCTGCCAGCAGAGGGGAGGGACCCCGTCCTTTCGTGGGGGGCTGGAGGTGGAACCTGCATTGGGCGCGCACGGAGCCGGGGACTGGCCCGCGCAGGCCCGCTCCCTCCC